CAAGGTCTGGTACCTGTCTTTTTGAGTTCCACATTAGTGGGTCTCGGGATCACTCCCGAAGCCCCCAGTCTCCTCCAGACTCCTCGTCTGCCCCTACCTTGTACATTATACTCATGACTCATTTGTTTCACAGTAATAACATATTTACTTCTCTCAGAAGCTCTTCTAAGCAGTTTGCATGCATGCAGTCCCTGGTTCTCGTGCCAACTTGATGTAATAGACAACAGCGTAACCCCATTTTACAGATGAGGAAACTGAGGCAGACAAGCAGAGCTCCATGCCCTGCCCAGGAGGCATGCTTCCATCCATCGCTGTCTGACACCCTGCACTGTCTCCTCTCTTCTTGCCCTCCTCTGTCCACTCTGAATGAGCCATGCATCTCTCCATTGCCAGAGACCAGCAGTGCCAGGCAAGCAGAGTGGACTCTCAGTCTAAGCCCCTGAGTAAAAGTCATTTTGAGACGTTGCCCAGCAAAAGTCCAAGCAGAGCAAGGCTTCCTCCCCACTGTGCAGGGTAGGCATCCAAGATCCTCCTGCTCAAAAGACAGAGAAAGGGGGAGAGGGGAGGTCACCTGCCTGTTATCTGTACTGTCAAACTGTCACACCACCTACCCCTGGGATTATTTCCAGGGACAGAATATTAGCCTCCTCTGAAGCCTTGTCAGCATCCCCAGGCAGTGGCAACACCATCTCAAGATCCTCTAGACATGGGAAACTCCACCCTTAAGGAAAGAAAGCCACCACAGGAGCACACATCCATCTCGGGGAAGTTTCCAGAACAGCCAAATCTACAGAGGCAGAAAGCAGACTGAGGGCTAAGGGAAAATGGGATCTGATCCACGGGGGTCTCTCTTTGAGATGTGTGATGACCCACCTGACACACTCCAGAATGACCTGAGAAGGGTGTCTCAATGTGGAATTGTCTAGATTGTGGGCATGCCTGTGAGGGATTTGAGTTAACTGAATTTGGAAGACACAGCCTGAATGCAAACAGCACCATTTCATATGCTTGACCATGGGCTAAATGAAGAGGGAAGAGAGAGAGAGAGAGAGAGAGAGAGAGAGAGAGAGAGAGAGAGAGAGAGAGCTGAGCACCAGTATGCATGTATTAATCTATTGTTGTTTTCTGCTTTTGAGCGTAGATGTGAAGTGACCGGTTCTTTCAAAGCTCCCTATGTTGGGCTTCCCTGGACTGTAATCTCAGACTGTGAGATTCTGAGCTAAATAAACTCTTTCTACCTTAAGTTGCTTTGTCAGGGCGATGCCATCACAACAATGGCCAAGGACACCAAGGCAAAGTGGTAAGAGCTCTCCAGCTGTGGAACTGGCGGCAGGCAGTCAACAGTTAATGAAAAAGAGGTGCTGAATTTGAAAGAGAGCAAGGAAAGATATATAGGAGGATTTGGAGGGAGGCAAGGAAAAGGAGATGTGGAGTAATTATGCCATAAACTCAAAATATAAAAGACATAAGCAGCAGCAGCAGCAGCAGCATTATCATTGGCTTTGTTTGCTTCAAATGGGAGAACTGAGGAACTATCTCAGGCAGGGACATGGGCTCGCTATGCCATTGACAGGGACAGAAGCCCAAGCAAGCCAGAGTGTCTGGAGGAGTTCTGCCTGCGGGAAAGCAGGGCTGTGGACTAAGATAAGCCACCATCCTGAGATGCAAAGTGGAGTTCGGGGTGTTGTCTCAAGCTTGCCATACCTGTGCTGAAGTCAGCAGATGACAGGCAAGACAGACAGCAAGGACAGCCTAACTGCCTCTTCTCTCCTTCCTCCCCCTCCCTGGGTTCTTCTCCTCCACTCCCTATCTTTCTTCCCTTCTTCTGTTCATGGCCAACTTGCCTGATGACACCATCACACACACACACACACACACACACACACACACACACACACACACACACACATTTTCAGTGCGTCACTGAGGACAGCCTCCTTCCAAGCAGGAACCACTGCATTTTCTGCTGACACCTCTGCAGCTTGTCCTATGACCACGCCCGGACTAGCCTTTCATAGGCAGCTCACATCTGTCCCCTTTCCTCTGGTCCATTAGGAACACTGATCTCAGTCCCCATGCCGCCTATTTCCAGGGATGGCCTGTGGTAGCATACTGGACAAAGGTCTGGAAAAGCACAAGTACAGATGTGCCTCGTTTAAAAGCAAACACTGTGAAAATCTGAATTGTAAAATAAATTCGGGGGAGATTCCCCATCCCCAAAGTAGCTGTAAGTGACTGTAAAGAGTCTGGCATTCCAAACACACTCAATAAGTACAACTGTAACCTTCACTCCAGAATTTGTGTCCAAAGTATCTCTGGTCTTGAGACAGGCAAAAAACAAGGGGGAAAAGCTCCCAGCTTCACCACATTTGGAGTAGGCTAGCAAGGAAAGCGGGAAGTGGTGATTAATGATAAGAAGTCTGTTCACTGGCTGCTCAGGAGGCAGGCACAGCTTCCTAGGCTACAGTCATCCCTTCTAGAGGAACTCCTTCCTCAGTCAGCAAAGGCAGAGAGGGTCATGGTGCAACATTACTACCAATTACTCAAGTGGGTCAGTATTTTGTTACTGCTAAGGAAGTATTTCCTCCCTCACAGGAAGTAGAATGGAATATTTCCTGCTCAAAGAGATGCCTTCCAGACAAGCCAAGCCCCACAACTTTCCATGGAAAACCTCAGGGCCTGGAGTTCTAGGGGCAGCGCTTGAGGAGTGCTCCATCCCAAAGCATCAGCCTCAGGACATGCCCACACGCCCGCCCACCCACCACCCACCCTGTCTCCCCACCCACACGACCCACCACCCACCCCCACCAGTCCCATAGAGACAGGGCTGAGATTCTGCTACAAACTTGTCTTTCCAGCTAAGAGTCCAAAGGAAACCTCAGACCCTACCAGGGCCAGGGTGCTTCCTCTTGACACCTTGGTATGGTAACTGTCTTTTTGCTCCCAAATGAACCCATCTGTTCATAGGGATGGCCAGGTCATAGCAAGCTGCTTTCCCTCAACATCTTCCCGCCCCTCTCCATGAGATACCTATGATTCTTATCCAATTCATGTGAGAGCTAGGGCTCATAAAGCTAAAGGAGACAGAAGTGGGGAGTACAAGCTGTGTCTTCCAGGGCCAACAGCATTTGCACAGCACATGTGCCTCATCAGAATGGCTACGTCACTACGGGATGACTTCCAGAGGGTCCACGCAACCTACTGTGTGATGTTCTCTCAGGTGTTACCTGGGATCCATCCCACAGAGCCCATGTTGATTCCCCCTTTCTCTGTGGTATCAGACTCCCCCAGGACCCCACACTGGCCCTTACAGTCCCCTAGGCCAGCCTCTTGGGATTGCTTGGCGTCCTGGCCTCCTCCTGGGCATACGGACACCATGAGCCCTCTGTTGTCCAACTGACCTCCCTCTTTTCTCCTCTCCCGTCTCTGTTTTCCTTCCCTCCTCCTGGGTACCATTTCCTGAGGGTCTGCCCAGCTTCCTGTGTGCTATTCTCTCTCAGCCTAATCGACTCCATCTCTCCATGGTGTCTGAAAGACATGGAGCTGGTCCACAAGGGAACCTTGGTCTGTGCTCTTGCCCTGCTTCTCCCTCTGGCTTTCCAACTTTAGGAAATAACAAAACCAGTCGGAGAGAAAAGGAGGGAAGAATGGAGGGGAGGATAAAGGAAGTGAAGGAAAGAGGAAGGGGCACCAGAGGAAAGAGACTAGAGGAAGGAAGCAAGAAAGGAGAAAAAGATGGCGCAGGAGAGGGACAGGAAGTGAGGAAAGAGAAGAAGTGAAAGTCCGGAGGAAGGGGAGAGGTAGAGGAGCTGAAGGAAAAGGAAGAGGAAGCGAGTGAGGAAGAGAGGATGCTTCTGGAAAGAAGAGGCAAAATGTCAACATCTTGGGTAAGAGCGCCAGTATTGTCGGTTTATGTTACATTGACTGCCCCCTCGCCATTCATAATTCACCAACCCGTGAGCTCCCTAAAATCTCCATCTGGGAGAATTTAGGCAGTTTGTGGCAGTGTACAGTTTTCCTGAAGGCAAGATAAACTGATCTCTGAAAGTCTCCATTCAAGGCAAGAGGGTGAGCCCCATGGCCTCGATGAAAGGGCCCAGGGGGCGGGGGGAAGGGTTACACCTTTGAAGTGCCCCCCCCCACACACACACAAAGCATCGTCTGGTCACATCCAGCCTGAGATCCCCATCTGCAGAGGTTCAGCCTGGGGCTGGGGTCAGAGGGAACCAAGGCATTTGTCTGAGGTCAAGTGTGCAAAAACTGGGAAGCAGCTCTACGGGAAATTACAGACTAAGGAGAGAAAGCCGCGGGAGGAGGCCACCTTTGCCCTGGATCTGGTCTGCTCCCTTTGCCCTGGATCCCAGCCCTCTCCCTTTGCCCTGCATGGCCCTGGCCCCCTTTGACTGGGTCAGGGTGTCCCTTGGGATCATGTCCTCAGGACTCCCCTCATCCTCCCAGCACCTCTTCCAAGGCAGGCCTATGTGGCTCTAGGACCGAGAATCACGGGCCCCCCTCAATGGGGTGGGGAGGCTGCTGCCTGGATGAGAGAAGTGTCCAGGCCACAGCAAGGGTGGAGGTGTGAGCAGAAACACAGAATGGGGTGGTAGGATATGCTTCAGGCTCAGGAAGGTCTTAGCCCCGGCCAGAAAGCAGGACCGAGGTGAGGATGGAATGGCATTCCAAGAGAAGGAACAGAATATGCAAAGACCTGGGGGCTTTCAATAGTGACTGGAACTTAGTCTTTGGCAGGATGAGGGCTCCAAAGGAAAGAGGTCATCTGAGGCCAGATATTAGAAGCCTTGAGTGCCAAGAGGGGAAGTGTGGCCTCCGTACCGGGGCCTGAAACGTTATAACAGAACTTTAAACTGGGAGAGCTTCGAGCAGAGCCTAAAGGTAGAGAAGGAAAACCCAAGGGGAAGGCAGGAGAGATGAGGCATAGAGCTGAAGTTTGATCTCAAGGAGAGGCGTGGAGACTCTGCACTCACCACGGCTGCACTCACCACGGAGCCAGCGCGCGCCCGCATGCGTGTCCTTGGGGCGGATGAGGCGGCGCTGCACGTAGCTGCGGCCCACGTACCACAGCATCCAGAGCAGCTGCAGGAGCATGAGCGCGGTCAGCACGCACAGCAGGTCGCTCTTGCCCACACCCGCCGCGTGCACCGCCCAGGCCAGCAGGAACAGCAGCCCCGCCACGAACACGTTCAGCCCGTACTGGCTGCTCAGAGTCTCCGCCAGCTTCTGCGGGACACTGGCGCCGCGTCGGGGACCAGAGGCCGGTGGAGACCCCCGGGCCAGGGGGAGCGGGGGCGGCGGGCATGCGGCGATCCCCGAAGGCGCGTCAAGGAAGGAACCTGCGGATGCTGCGGGAGAGGAGGGCGCGCCCGGGCCCCCAGGCATCTTCCAGTCTGGTCCCCAGGCAGCTGCTCCAGCCCCGCGCGTTGCTGTTGGCTCCTGTCCTTTCCCCACGCCCTCTGGGCACTAACCCCGCTCGCCCGTGCTCTCCGCTCTTGCCCTCCCCCAGAGCTCCAGGCCCTTGGTCAGGTCCCAGCCGCCGGCCTCCCTCTCGGAACTCCCGATGCCGACTCCGGTCCCTGCAACCCGTTGACCCTGCAGCTGCGCCTCGAGCCCCGCTGCTCCTCTGCCCTGCCTGTGCCACCCGCACCCCACCCCCGTGCCCAGCCCGCCTACCCCACCCCAGCGCCCCGGAAACAAGGGACCGCAACAGGTGCCGCCCGCCAGCTCCGGGGCTGGCGGGGAGGGGTGGGATGCCAAGGGACATACAGAGTCGCGGGAGCCAGATCAAGGAATTGCTGGGGGTGTGGCTGCGCCGAGGGTTGTGTCCCCGAAACCTAGAATTCTGGGTGGGCTCGCAGGGCACGAGTGTACGTGGGTCCTTCTCATCTGTGTGTCCTGGTCCCTGCCTCTGTCTACTGGGTGCTTTTCGTCTTTCTGCCCTCGACCTACGAGTGTGTTTGGCTCGGTGAGAAGCAGGGAAGAGGCGTCTTTAGGGTTTAGTCACTTTGGGTGTCTGTGTGGGGACCTGACCTGGGGACCTGACCTAGAGCCTCGACGCTGGCTGAGACCGGAGGCAGTACCCAAGGAGAGGCCATCCCTTCCTCTCCTCCTCCGGGGCTGCTTCGCTTCCAGGGGGAACTGAGACTGGAAAAGGGTCCCCAGTGGTCGCATAGAGTCCAGTTGCTTCCATTCCAAAGCCTTTCACAGCTCTGCTCTGGTACCTAGTGGAAGCGCAGCCCTTTCTGCGAAAGAGCGTCCTAAGGTTGACCCTGACCTGGAGGAGAGCCGGTCCCAGAGGGCAATGGGGAGCAATTGGGACATCTGGTTCTGAGAGTGGAGCGCGGGGCAGGGCACAGGCCAAGATGCCCCGCTATGCCTTGCTTTTAACACTCTAGTGTAGCTGATTTCAATTTCTTCGTATTTTAACAAGGAAACCCATGGTTTTTGTTTGCAAGGAACGCTGCACACAGACACTGCAACAGCTGGTGATGACTGCTAAGATGGGGGGGGGGGCAGGGGATGAAGGGGGCAGGAAACTTTAGGCCCAATGAGCCCTGGATCTTGCTTTGCCTTCATTCTTAAATTCCTTCATTTGGTCATTCATCCAATTTATATATAAATAGCCCACATATTTTCTGCGCTCTGTGCCTGCCTGACCCTGAGGACTCATTGGGGCCAGGACAGTCCTGGAAGCCAATGGTCAGGTGAGATGCTACGGTATACACTCGTTTACTCAGTGCACTGGAGAGCTAACCAGGAACCCTACGGCAGACCAGCTCTCCCAGGAGACACAGGCAACCCAGGAAAGCCCCCTAGTAAGAAGGCTGAGAGATTCCCAGGAGGAGGCAGTGTCTGCAAGAGCTCCATAGCCAGAATAGCTGTTCTTGTGGAAGGCAGGAGGCAGGTGGGGAGGGGCTTCCAATGTGTGTAAAGAATGATTGAAATGGCACTAGCCAGATGCCCGCAGGTAAGGGCACTTGCCCTCAAGCCCGACAACCAGATTTGGATGCCCGGTCTTACATGGTAGGAGAAGACATTCCTACAAGTTGTCCTCTGACATCCACAGGTCCACAGTGATAAGCACACACATTCAATAAAAAAGTAAATAAATAAATGTCATTTTCAAAGCCCACAGATTTCATCCTAGTCCCAAACCCATGCCACCCCACAGATTCCAAAGAGCCTTTGATTGCTAAGAGACTGGGTTTCTGAGAAAATGCCACAGATGCATCACGTCACCCTTCCTGCATGCCTTTCCCAGCATCCTGTGATGGTGGCTGGTTACTGGCAAGGTCAAAACGAGGTACTTTTCCTTCTGAAATAATACTCAAAGTATCTATGAGTTCCATGGCTAATGTGGAGCATCCCTGCACACATTCCGTGCAGCTCTGTGGCTAATCCCTGTTCACCTTCCAGGCAGTTTCCTGATCCTTCCACACGCGGTGGTGGTATAGGAGTCAAAGTAGAAAACCCACACGGACATACTACTACCAACTGCATAGGAAACCTCACTCACGTGGGGCTACTTTTTCTGTCCTTTTGCTTTCTAGAGACACCTTCCGGTACACACTAAAGGGGCTCTGAGCTAATACATTGGTCACTGTGGCTGTGGGGGGTTAACATGTATGTGCATACGTGTGGAGGCCAGAAGACAACCCTGAGTGTCACTCCCCAGCACCATTCCTGCTCCCCACCCCACCCCAACTTGTCACGTAGGCTACGATGAGCAGCCAGTGAGCCTCAGGGATCCACTCACAGCTCCCTCCTCAGTGCTGGATTACAGTGTGTGCCACCATGCTTTTGTTTTTTGTTTTGTTTTGTTTTGTTTTGAGACAGGGTTCTCTGTGTAGCTTTGGTGCCTGTCCTGGATCTCTCTCTGCAGCCCAGGCTGGCCTGGAACTCACAGAGATCCACCTGGCTCTGTCTCCCGAGTGCTGGGATTAAAAGCGTGCGCCACCACCGCCGCACCCTGACTTTCTTTTTTTTTTTTTAATGTAGGTTCTGGGGATTGAACTTGGGTCTTCATACTTACAAGAAACGCCTTACAGAGTAAGCTAAGGCTCCCAGCCCTCCCGTGGCCATGTCTCCTTCATCAGTGTGTGTGAGATCTCATGGCAGTGACATCTCCGTAAGTAGATGGAGTTGTCACCAACAGCCTGATGGGAGGTCCTGTATATCTAGTTCAGGGGAGAAAATTCCCCCTCCCTCCATGGTAAGAGGGTCCAACACAACCCCACCTCCTCCAGGCAGAGACTTGAAGAAGGTACCCATCTTACTGCTGGGCTCACTGTAGCCTTCTGTGTGTTAGTACGCTAAATGACTCGACCCGGTGGGTGCCTGTTGGTAAGAGTTCTTTTGAGATGCAGCTCTTATACAGCATCCATTCAGAGATCCATCTTCAGCCCTCTTGCCCACATGTCTTGGTCTTCAGATAGTCATTGACCATTGAGCCTTCCAGAACCATCCATGGCACTGTGCAGGTTTCTGCTCTGCACAGCTCTTTATTCAGACAAGACACCTGGTCTCCATTCTGCTCATAGGAAGGGGTTTTCTTGACTGCTGTCCATCAGAGTTGGTGCTAGGTGGGACTGTGAGGATGTAGTGGACACTTTAGGTTGGTGCCAACTTGTCATGCAGATGCATCGGTAAACATGGCCTGAGCTGCTTCTCCTACCGTGAGACGGCCTCATGTTACTGTAGATGTGGATTAAAGAATCAAGGCCATGAAGCAGGTGTCAGCCTGGGAAGGACGTGGACCACCTGCAGGTCAACTTGTTCAATGTCTTATATGCCACATGGGCTTGACAACACACACCACTGGTTGGATAGATCAGATGATACCCAGCTCATAATGGAAGCTACAGTCCTATGGTCACTTAATTCTCAAAAACAGGAGAGAGGTTTGTCTAACGGAAAATAACTTAGCTGTAGATGGCCATTTTTTACTATACAACCCTTTTGATCTGTACCGTGATTTCCCTGTTTTCCTGCGAGACCACATCTAGGACCATTTGCTAAAGCCACCCCCAAGTGTCCTTGGCTTTGCTGGGCTGTAAGATCCAAATCAGAGCAGTTGGAGTACAGGCTGGTGGACTCCCAGAGTCACCGTCCCTCTGCTACCCACTCAGAACTGGGATGCCAACATGTAGACTCCACCTGCAAGTCAGCTGGTCGTACATGCATTTAAGGATGGTGAAAGCTACACCCCTTTCCTTTGAGTCTGGGAAATCCAAGCTGCCTCACGGAGAGGTCAACAAAGAATGAGCCCCGTAGCCAGCACCTACTGTAGCCAACCTCAAGGAAGCGTCTAGGGAGGGGCTTGCCCAGTCTCAGCTGAGTTTTGCCCCTGTGAGGCAGAAACAAAGTGTCCCTGCCAACCCCTGCTCACATTTCAGATTCCTGAGCAGGATAAATGGTGGCCGTTGTTTCAAGCCACGTACATTTGGGTGTGGTTTGTTATGCAGCAATAGGTACCCGGAACATACAGACACAAGTGGGACTGGGTCCAAAGATCAGAGACCTGGGAGGCTCTCTCCGGTGACCCCTGTTGACAGGGACACAGGGCCGTGTAAGGAAAGTTCTGATGGTCACAAGAACGTTCAAGATGGAGCATACGTTGTGGGGAGTGAGGGATGCTGTGGATATTTGGCTCACAGCATGTTGAACTCTGGTCTGTTCACTCCTGCCAAGGTATGGGCTGGGAAGGACAGAGCTTTTCATAGCCCTTGTGATTCCTCTCTGTCACACACATGATGGAATTCATTCCTTACACTTCATGTAATTTCTTTTTATTCTGAAGGTTCTGTGGCTCAAGCTCAGGATCTTATTCATGCGGGACAAGCACTCTACCACTGAGATACATCCTCAGACCTTTTTTTAAAAATTGAGATGGTATTTCCTATGTAGCCCAGACTGGCCTCAAACTCAAAATCTTCCTGCCTCAGCCTCTCAAGGGGCTGAGGTCACAGGCATTTGTCACCACCCCACACTATAATTTCTTCCCCAAGGAGGAATAGAGAGATAGAAAGTGGACAGAAAATTCTTCGGTGGATTTGTTGAATAGGGGGATCAAAGAAATGGGCCTCACTGGAGAAATTCGAGGAAGTCTAACGTGATGTTTGTGTGAAGGAGGAAAGTTGTATAATATATCTGCCTGCCCACAGGAATGGCTCAGCCCACTGCATGAGGATTACACTCAAAGTAAGGTATGAAAAGGTTTGTAAACTGGCCTCGGTGGCAAAGGCCTGTAATCCTAGCATTGAGAAGGCTGAGGTAGGATGTTTACAGGTTCAAGGTCAGCCCAACCTACCTAGCAAGTTCAAGGCTGGCCTGGGCTATACAAGTCTCAAAACCACTGAATGAGGGAAGAAAAACTACAGCCATCCTTAAGGCTCAGATTGTTTAGAAACGAATCATCACACTCCAGGGGTATAGGGAGAGTGTTCCTCAGTTGCAGAACCTGCATGCCTTCCATGAATTCCTATTCCTTTCTGGAATGGTCTATATTCTTGGACTCCCCAACCAGGGATGGCTGTGCTGCTCTAACACCTTATGTGCACAAAACAACACAGACCGTGACCTCCGTTTTAAAGTGTCTGGAGACAGCG